TCCGCAGCGTGTTCCCCTGCCGTCCCCTCCTGCGTCTTCTCTACCTACCGTTCCTGAGCCTGAGTCTGACCGCACCCGTGCTGCTCACCTTACTGTCACGTGTCTGCTAGCCATAGTTGTCACTGACCCTTCGATTGAGTCTGCTGTTGCGTCTGCCTTAGTCGCTGAGCTTGTTGACTTTGTTGCTGCCTGTCGTCTAGACTACCCCGCTAGTCTTGTTGCTGAGTCTGAGTCTGTCTGACCTCCGTCCGTCGGGGGTGAGTGTGCTCTTGGCACGGACGTCCTTGAGGACAGGCACGAGGACCTTGAGTGTCTTGCAGCCGCTGCGCCTCATCTGGTGTCCATGCTGCTTGCCCCTGAGGGAGACCCGGATGCTCCAGACATCCCGACCCCGCGCTCTTACGCTGAGGCGATCGCGGGTGAGTACTCCTCTCAGTGGCAGACAGCCATGGACGCAAAGATGGCATCCTGGAAGTCCACAGGCACTTACGTCGACGAGGTTCCCCCTCCTGGGGCGAACATCGTCAGTGGCATGTGGATTTTCAGGGTGAAGCGGCCGCCGGGTTCTCCGCCTGTCTTCAAGGCTCGTTACGTTGCTCGAGGCTTCAATCAGCAAGAAGGAGTTGACTTCTTTCAGACCTTCTCCCCCACCATGAAGATGACCACTCTTCGGGTACTGCTGCACGTCGCCGCTCAGCGTGACTACGAGCTTCACTCTTTTGACTTCAGCACAGCTTTCTTACAGGGCACCCTGCACGAGGAGATCTAGCTGCGCCGCCCTCCTAGCTTCACTAGGTCGTTCCCTCCTGGTACCCAGTGGAGCCTCCGGCAGCCGGTCTATGGTCTCCGCCAGGCGCCACGTGAGTGGCACGACACACTGAAAACGACACTTGCTGCTCTTGGGTTTGCTCAGTCGACTGCTGACCCGTCGCTGTTTCTAAGCACCGACACTTTGTTGCCGCCGTTCTACATCCTCGTGTACGTCGACGACTTGGTCTTTGCCTTTGCTGACACTCAGGCTCTCGCCCTGGTGAAGTCGGAGCTGCAGAAGAGACACACGTGCACAGACCTGGGTGAGCTGTGCAGCTACCTTGGCTTGCAGATCACCCGGGACAGAGCACGCCGCACCATCACACTGACTCAGTCACACATGGTGCAGCAGGTCCTTCAGCACTTCGGCTTCACCTGGTCCTCGCCACAGCACACTCCAGTGGCTACAGGCCACTCGCTCTCAGCTCCACCTTCGGACGAGTCCGTAGAGCCGAGTGGTCCTTACCCAGAGCTAGTTGGCTGCCTCATGTACCTGATGACCTGCACTCGTTCTTACCTTGCGTACCCTCTTGGCCTTTTGGCTCGCTACGTGGCTCTTGGTCGGCACCAAAAGGTGCACATGGATGCTGCTAAGAGGGTACTGCGCTACTTGTGCAGTACATCAGGCATGGGGCTCGTGCTTGGAGGACGGGGCGACGTTGTCCTCACTGGTCACTCGGACGCTTCTTGGATTGACGACCAGGCTACGCAGCGGTCGTCACAGGGTTACACCTTCAGGCTTGGCTCTGGTTCAGTTTCTTGGCGTGCTACACGCTCGTCTTCAGTTCTCAGCTCCAGTTGTGAGGCTGAGATCTACGCCACAGCCATGGCTGCACAGGAGTTACGCTGGCTCACCTACCTGCTGACCGACTTGGGGAGAGCGGCCTCGTTCTCCTCTAGTGCTGTACGTCGACAACAAGGTCGCCATTGCCTTGTGTGAGGAGCACAGACTGGAGCACAAAACAAAGCACATCGCGCTGCGTTACTTCCTGGCTCGAGAGTTGCAGCAGCGTGGTCACCTTCGTCTTGCTCACGTGGACACTCGGGCCAACAGTGCTGATATATTCACCAAGGCACTTCCGTCTGGTGATCATCAGCGATTCTGCACTTTGTTAGGCCTTGTGCCCACTTTTCCTCACTTGCTGTAGACTTTGCATGTAGTGTGATCTATATATATACCTGCATGTTTGCTCTGCTAGGTAGAGATCACTGTACTATTGTTGTTGCATATATACCTCTGCATGTGAATTGGTCTTTTGACCCCTTGCTATCCCCCACTTTGCCTATGGGGGTGTGTCAAAGTATATGTATGTAATATATGTGTAGGTTGTAGTGGGTAGCCAATATGGGGTACAGCCCCTTTTAGGGTTTCATATTTGTACCCAACTTTTTCATAGTTCATCCATTCCTGCTGCTAGATTCTAACAGACCTGGCTACGCAGCGGTCGTTACAGGGTTACACGTTCAGCCTTGATCCTGGCTCTGTTTCTTGGCGATCTTCACGCTCGTCTTCTGTTCTCAACTCCAGTTGTGAGGCTGAGATCTACGCCATAGCCATGGCTGCACAGGATCTACGCTGGCTCACCTACTTGCTGACCGACTTGGGAGAGAGGCCTCGTTCTCCTCCACTTCTGTACGTCCACAACAGGGCTGCCATTGCTTTATGTCAGGACCACAGACTGGAGCACAGAAGAAAGCACATCGCTCTGCGTTACTTCCTTTTTTGAGAGTTGCAGCAGCGTGGTCAGCTTCGTGTCGCTCACGTGCCCACCCGGGCCAACACGGCTGATTTGTTCACCAAGGCCCTTCCGGCTGGTGATCATCAGCGCTTCTGCACTGTTCTAGGCCTGGTGCCTACGTTTCCTCACTTGCTGTAGACTCTGGTTGTACTGTGATCTATAAATATATATATATAGTGATCACTATACTATTGTTGTTGCATATATACCTTTGTAGGTGAACTGACCTTGTGGCCCCTTTGCTTGTGCTCGGAGTGTGATATGACGTTGTGATCCACCCTGAGCTTGCTTTGGTTTTCTTGACTGGTCTTGTGACCATTTTGTCAGAATATTATGTTTCTCTAGTCTACAGTGGGGTACTCTATACTGAGTACAACCCTTTTAGGGTTTGCTATATGTATCCCAATGTTTGCTAGTGAACTCCTCCTCTCTTCTTCATTCCTCTTTCTTCACATGCTATCAGAGCATCTACGCTCCTGGCCTGTGGGCCCACCTAACTGCTTCCGCTGCTACTCTGTGTACTGCACGCCCCGTGGCGTGCCCCTCGCGCTACTCTTCGCGGCCCCGTCGCCGCCCTTCTAGGCCCCTCGCGGCCCCTTCCCGGCCCCGTTGCCGCCCTTCCAGGCCCCTCGCGGCCCCTTCGCGGCCCCGTCACCGCCCCTAGCGGTCCCGCCGCCGCCCCTAGCGGTCCCGTCGCCGCCCCTAACGGTCCCGTCGCCGCCCTTCGCGGCCCCGTCACCGCCCTTCGCGGCCACGTCGCCGCCCTTCGCGGCCACGTCGCCGCCCTTCGCGGCCCCGTCGCCGCCCCTAGCGGCCCCGTCGCCGCCTCTGCCGGCCCTGTCACCGCCCTTTGCGGCCCCGTCGCCGCCCCTATCAAGGCCCTGCCCCGGCCATGCCCCGGCCCTGCCCCGACCCTGCCCCGGCCCCGCCCCGGCCATGCTTCGTCTCCTGGCGCGGCGCACCGAGGACCCGTGCACCACCCCCCCCCCTCTTTTCCCGTCGCCTGTCGAGGCGACCTGAGGGGGCCGCGCGCCGGGGGGGGGGGGCGAGCGCCGCCCTTTCTGCCGCCTGTTTTGGCGCCCTGGGAGGCCGCGCGTCGCCCCCCCCCCCCCCCGTAACCTCCCTACCCGCCATCCCGCCCTGCCCTGTGTTAGGGTCTGGGGGTGGCGAGTAGGGGGTGGCGGGTGTGTGGTCTCCCCTGCTCCTCCTCCTCCTCTGTTTCCCACTGCTGCAGCTGCCGCTGAGGGGGGTGGGTGTGTGGGAGTCGACGGAGTGGTGCTAAGGGGTGGGGTGTGAGTGAACCTAGGGGTGCAGTAGGGGGTGTGTGAAATGGGGGTGGGATAGTTTGGGGAGTTTGAAGGGGGTGGCCGCCGTGAAGCCCGCAGCTCCAGTCGCCCGTGAGACCGTTGCGCCAGTCGCCCGTGAGCCCGTTGCTCCAGTCGCGCGTGAGTCCGTTGCTCCTGCCGCTTAGAGTTAGCCGCGGAGCCAGTTACTCCAGTAGCCCGTGTGCCAGTTGCTCCAGTTGCCAGTGTGCCAGTTGCTCCAGTTGCCCGTGTGCCAGTTGCTCCAGTTGCCCGTGTGCCAGTTGCTCCAGTTGCGCCGTGTGCCAGCAGCTTCAGCTGCCGCTCACTACCTCCTCTCCTCCCATAGTCCCTCCTCCTCCACACTTGCCCTCTGCGATAGCCTCTAGCTTTGCTTACATTTGTGAACTTAAAACTGTTGCTTCTTGTACTTGTGCTCAGAATGTGTGGTGACTTTGTGATCCACCCTGAGCTTGTTCTGCTTTGCTTGTTGTGCTGATTACACCCCACTTTGACTATGGGGGTGTGTCAGAATATTATGTTTCTCTAGTCTGCAGTGGGGTACTCTATAGTGAGTACAACCCTTTTAGGGTTTGCTATATGTATCCCAATGTTTGCTAGTGAACTCCTCCTCTCTTCTTCATTCCTCTTTCTTCACACACTTGTTCTCCCCCACTTTGCCTATGGGGGTGCTAGTTGTGTGTAGGCTATAGTGGGGTAGCCCAAGTTGGGTACAACCCAATATTATGGTTAGTACTTGTACCCACAATCAATTCAATGCAACCATTCCTGCTTGCTATTCTGACAAAAAGCAACCCCCCCAAAAAAAACTGATTTTATTACAAGCGCATATGCGCTACCGTACTATCCGGGGTAATACGGTATCAGAAATGTATTTTGCAATTGACCCAGGGGCAAAAACGCGGGTGTGTCGCACACTCAACCTCCTAACCAGCCAGTCACTTCGCCTACACAGATAGGGTAACGAGAGCTGCAACTGTTTTGCAATTGACATCAATTTTTCGTACTTGAGATCGTGGCTTTAAAAATCAGATGAAAGCAAAAATCAAGGTCTGAAAATCAGACCATCAGACCAATTTGGTCTGATAACAAGAGCCCCAGTAGTGCTTGTCTGATTAGATGTCACACGTCACATATGAGCCGTGGCAAAGAAGTTTTCGAAGAAGCGGAGGCCATCGGCTGCATCGTCTCGGCACAGAAGAGCTGATTGGGGGGGTGGGTGGGGTAGAGGAAAAGGACAAAATGGCATGAGGAAACACGGATAACAGTGAGGTTAGGAAACAGAGAGGCCATCGGCTGGATCGTCTCGACACTGAAGAGCACTTAGCAAAGCAGCATTACGCACACTCAGAAAAAAACTGCACTTAGCAAAGCAGCACTACTCTTCTCACCCTTGGCCTCGGCTGCTAACAATTCCTCCTTGGCGACAGCTGGCGAGACGCCGAGCGCCTGCGCCACATCAGCAATGGACACCCCGACTCGCTGCGCCTCATTGGTCGAGACCAACTCCTGGATCCTGCGCGTGACCTGGCATGCAGGGGGATAATGGAAGAAGGAATGGGTCTTGCATGTAAGCTGGCATGCCGAGAATGTGGGAGGTGGCATGTTGAAGGGAATTTGATGGGAGGGGAAGTCGTTGGGCTGGGGTAGAGAATGGGGAGGGGATCAGAAGACTGCATGCACGGGGGCAAAGATGAGAGCCATGCGTGCTATTGCATGTACGGCGCGGGATTCACTGAAGTACCGTACATCTAATTCACGGAAAGCACCGCACTGCACTGCACTGCACCTACATGCTCGTCGCTGTGAGTCTTGAGCTGCACCACAAGAATGCCACTGTCAAAGCGCCTTAGCACTGCAGGACTGGGGATGGGAGAGAGCGAGAGAGACAGAGGGGAAGGCAGGAGGGAGGAAGGAGATGAGAGAAAGTAGTAGTGAAAAACTGATGTGCGTATTCAGCTGCATCACAAGGATACTACAGTCACAGGGCTGGGGATTGGAGAGAGGACAGAATGAAAGAGAACAAGAAGGACAGCCAGAGAGAGGAGAGAAAAGAGAATGGAAGATAGCCAGAGAGATAAGGGAATGGAGCGACAAATAACACAAATTGTCAGAGGTCTACTGGTGATCCCCGGTTGATCCTACGGAAGGGTTACAGGCTCGTTGTCATAGAGGGTTATGGGCGCACTGACCCGCTACACAAACAAGCCATTTTATCCAAGTGGTTAATGGCTGGAATTCTGACATGGTATCAGAGCGAAGGTCTCGGGTTCGAATTCCAGTGTGTGCATTTCGGGCATCCCAGTGCGGGGGGGTGTCAGAGGTCCACTGGTGATCCCCGATTGATCCTAGGGAAGGGTTACAGGTTCGTTGTCCTGGGGGGTTATGGGCGCACTGACCCGCTACGTAACAAGCTTTTTTATCCCAATGGTCTAGTGATTGGGATTCTGACACAAATAACAACAACGCAACAACGCGCAGGCACGACAACAAGCGACACAACATGCGGATGGGGGTGCCTACAACTTTTGTTCCTCCGCCCCCAACTTTTGTCCGAGCCCTGCCACAAGCGGTTGAAGGCAGCAGCAACACCGTTCACTAAGTCACGCCCAAAACTGTTTCGCTTTTTCCTCCCCCCTCCCCCCTTCCCCCCCCCACAAGCCGTTTCGCCACCCGCACCGGCCGACTAAAGACACGGCTGCCCCGCTCTCCACAGCGGTCGCTAAGTCACGCCTAAAACTGTTTCGCTTTTTCCTCCCCCCTCCCCCCTTCCCCCCCCACAAGCCGTTTCGCCACCCGCACTGGCCGACTAAAGACACGCCCGCCCCGCTCACCACATCGGTCGCTAAGTCACGCCCAAAAACTGTTTCGCTTTTTCCTCCCCCCTCCCCCCTTCCCCCCCCTCCACCCTTCCCCCCCCACAAGCCGTTTCGCCACCCACATTGGCCGCTCGAGCGGAGGAGACCACCAATGCGATGGGCTTTGCGCATTGCCACTGGCACACGCACATTGCCACTGGCACACGCGCATTGCCACCGGCACACGCGCATTGCCACCGGCACACGCGCATTGCCACCGGCACACGCACATTGCCACCGGCACACGCACATTGCCACTGGCACACGCACATTGCCACTGGCAGGGAGGAGAAGGGTGCTTGTTATATTCCCCCCAGCTTGGAAGAAGACACTTTCAAGGAGACTTAGCTTCGGGGGAGAGGAGAGGGAGGGAGCCGACACTAGACTCAACTCATCTTCCACCACTAGACTTCGGGTTGGTGGCCTCAACTCAACTCATCTTCCACTCAAGGCCACCAACCCGAGCCGCACCTGGAACCCGTGGCAACAGGAGGGAAACCAAAATCAATACCAACCCACGTCTGAGGCACCCAACCTGACCAACCAACCCCGTCGCCAAATCTCGCCTGACGAGAGCCGTTTCGCGACAATCACCTGCGCAATGCACTGCCAAGCACTGCCAAGACGACACCATTTGGATCTGTGATGTGACCATCACATCACGGGCCCCGTCAGCATACGTGACGGCCATGCTGTCAACGGACAGGGCTGGGCAGCAAGGGAAGCGGCGCCGGAAGATAAGACGATATATCATCACCAATCAGGCCGAGCACGTGAACAGTGAACTTCTTCCAGCGGGCCGTGGAGACCTACAGCTGTCCCTGCGGGGAGGTGCCTCAATTGCTCAAGCTGTTGGCCGAAACAGCAGCGAGGAGGCTGGTGAACGCACATCTGTCCACTGTCCACATACCAAGCCAGGATGCTTCTCCAACAGTTCCACCAGCGCTGCTGGTAAATGCAGAGCTGCCAACAAACCAGGCAGCGCATACCAGCCCTGCAGGGACGACAAGCCCTCAGCTGCAGGGACGACTGGTCAATGCAGACCCCTCTGCCAACTGTCCACAGACCAGGCTGCAAATCCCCCTCAACAGTTCCGCCAGCGCTTGTCAATGCAGACCCAGAAAATAGCATTGCAGCAAGCACAAGCCCTCAGCTACTCAATCAAGTTGGACGAGGCGACCCAGGCTGAGAACCCGAGTATAAGTATCACGGGTGACAATATTCCATCTGGAGATTGATTTTTAGTGTTGGAGCCGCAGATAGAGCTGCTGTAGTGTATAAGGCTGTTCCTCCATTTATACCTCTCTGGACCCAGGCTGTCTAATACTACAAACAAGGGCCGTTTGCGAGAGACATTTTTGGAAGCTTGCGAACTGGTTGTACCCTACACATTTATCCACCGACTCGACTATGACTTGCAAGTTCTAAGTTGTAAGTTTGTTTGACTCACGAGGTGAAAGAGGACCAGAGCGAACACGCCTTGAGTAGATCGTCTGGTGATATGAGCTCTGAGAGGAACGGGCGAGCACAGATACACACATACATGCGCACATGCATGCGCACATGCATGCGCACATGCATGCGCATATGCATGCGCACATGCATGCGCGCCCACACACACACACACACAGATTCACATAAACACATAACCGCAACCACATAGCCGCACAGTCACACAGTCATACAGCCCACACAGAAGCAGAAATGCACGACATTCGCCTTACACGCTTGCATGCTGACAGTTTCTCATCACCAAAACCGTCGCTCTGCAAACTCTTCACCGCAACAGATGGGTAGTTTTCATCTCACCAACTGGCAAACTGGCCTGCTGAGCTCAGCACTGCCAGCACAGCACTTTAAGCACAGCACTACCAGCACGACACTTTCGATTCGCCTCAGCGAAGAGAGTTGGGTTGAGAGCGGTTCATTACGCACCTGTGCCTCTGGCGCGGTTGAATATGCAGTACACGTCGACCAATAGCATCGTGCCACCTGTCTTCTCCAGCACTGGGCCTATGAAATCTGCAAGCTGCGAGAAGAGCAGGGGATAGGAATGGGGGCAGGGGAGAGGAATGGGGGCAGGGGAGAGGAATGGGGGCAGGGGAGAGGAATGGGGGCAGGGGAGAGGAATGGGGGCAGGGGAGAGGAATGAGGTGAGGAGGTGAGCAGGTGAGCAGGTGAGCCAGCAGACAATACCAGCAACGGTCTCAAGAGAGGAAACGATTCATCAAAGAGCTGAGAACTTGTAAGTATTTTAGGCGAGACAGTCGAGTGAGAAGGATGCTTCAGCTTAGCGACATGAAGAGTGCATGAGATGAGAGGGATGAGCACTTGTGGTACTTTGTTCAACTCTGAGCGCCGTGCGTGCGTGAGAGAGAGAGCAGCACGCTTCCATTGTGATTCACTGCAAGTGGCAAAAGCAAAGAATGATGAAGCGCCAGCTTGCTTGTGGCCGAGCAGATCAGACCACCCACCCCACCCCACTGACAGCTGCCTGTGTCACAGCCCTCTTCACCCCACCCCACTGACAGCTGCCTGTGTCACAGCCCTCTTCACCCCACCCCACTGACAGCTGCCTGTGTCACAGCCCTCTTCACCCCACCCCACTGACAGCTGCCTGTGTCACAGCCCTCTTCACCCCACCCCACTGACAACTGCCTGTGTCACAGCCCTCTTCACCCCACCCCACTGACAGCTGCCTGTGTCACAGCCCTCTTCACCCCACCCCACTGACAGCTGCCTGTGTCACAGCCCTCTTCACCCCACCCCACTGACAGCTGCCTGTGTCACAGCCCTCTTCACCCCACCCCACTGACAGCTGCCTGTGTCACAGCCCTCTTCACCCCACCCCACTGACAACTGCCTGTGTCACAGCCCTCTTCACCCCACCCCACTGACAGCTGCCTGTGTCACAGCCCTCTTCACCCCACCCCACTGACAGCTGCCTGTGTCACAGCCCTCTTCACCCCACCCCACTGACAGCTGCCTGTGTCACAGCCCTCTTCACCCCACCCCACTGACAGCTGCCTGTGTCACAGCCCTCTTCACCCCACCCCACTGACAGCTGCCTGTGTCACAGCCCCCTTCACCCCCTCCTCAATGGACAATTGCCTGTGATACAGCCCCCCCCACCCCCTTCTGCAAAGGAAGAGGGGAGGAGGAGGAGGGGGAGGAGGAGGAAGAAGAGGAGGAGGAGGAGGAGGAGGAGGAGGAGGAGGAGGAGGAGGAGGAGGAGGAGGAGGAGGAGGAGGAGGAGGAGGAGGAGGAGGAGGAGGAGGAGGAGGACGAGGAGGAGGAGGAGGAGGAAGAGGAGGAGGAGGAGGAGGAGGAGGAGGAGGAGGAGGAGGAGGAGGAGGAGGAGGAGGAGGAGGAGGAGGAGGAGGAGGAGGAGGAGGAGGAAGTGGAGGAGGAGGAGGAGGAGGAGGAGGAGGAGGAGGAGGAGGAGGAGGAGGAGGAGGAGGAGGAGGAGGAGGAGGAGGAGGAGGAAGAGGAGGAGGAGAAGAAGAAGAGAGAAGGGATAGAGCGCTCACCTCTCTGGACAGCTGTCTGTGATACAATGCGCCTGCTGTCTCTCGTGTGACAGGAGACTCAATGCCCATCTTCAGCAGCAGGTCCTGCAGCTCCTCCGATGCTGCTGCTGCTGAGGAAGAGGAGGAGGAGGAAGAGAGGGAAGGGGCGATTTCCCCACTCGCCGCCCCCTGCTGCTGCTGCAGCTTCTGTCGCATTCTCTCTGCCAGTTTCACCATCTCGCTCGCCTTGGCCTGCAAAAAGGAAAGGGAGTGACAGTTGGAAAACGCGTAAAAACAGCAGATTTTGTGAAACGCCTCAAACCCTCCCACCCTCCTCCCTTCCATGCTGATGCTGCAATTTCTGTCGCATTCTCTCGGCCAGTTTCACCATCTCACTCGCCTTGGCCTGCAAGGAAGAAAGCGAGGAAAAGCAGGATACACACATGTAAGGATGGGCTATCCGCTGCTGCAGCTTGTGTCGCATTCTCTCTGCCAGTTTCACCATCTCGCTCGCCTTGGCCTGCATAGAGGAAAGGGAGGGAAGGCAGGATACACGCATGAAAATGGAAGGATATCTGCTGCTGCTCCCCATGATGCTGCAGCAGCAACAGCTTCTGTCACATTCTCTCGGCCAATTGCACCGTCTCACTAACCTTGGCCTGCACGGATGGAGTGGGTGCGGGAAAGCAGGAAGACACGAAAGGTGTCAGTCAGGTCATAAGCTGCTGCCATTTAAGGACTTCCCAAAAGCGACTCAATCCCACCACGAGCGCAGTCAGGTCGGACGGAGAATGCCGCCTGCAGGATTCGATCCGGAGACCACTGGAGCGATAGGCTCAACACTGTAGGTAGGTGGTTGGCTCATACCCTCTACTCCACTCACCATGAGCGCATTCAGGTCGGAGAACGCTTCTGCTTGTAGGTGTATGTGTATCCGAAGGAATGCTTGCTTTCAGTGGGCCCCTGCACTCACCATGAGTGCATTCAGGTCCGAGAACGCTTCTTGCAGGCTGCGATCCGTGGCCTGCTTCTGCTCCGCCTCGCGCCTCAGAATCCCCCCCACCCCCGCCATTGCTGTGCTGAACTGCACCGGGGGAGGTCCCCCTGCTCCCCCCGCTCCCCCTGCTGTCCCCACTTCCCCGCTTCCATACCCCGCACTGCCCCAATACAGGGGGTTCTCTCCGCCAGTTGCTGATCCCCCCATTCCGCTCCCCCCATACGCGCCGACCGCTGCTGCTGCTGCTGCTGCTGCTGCTGCTGCGCCGATCGGCAGGGCAGGGAGAGATGCGGAGGCAGCAGTAGGGGGGGTTACTAGCCCCGGAAAAGGTGAATCTTGCCATTTTCTAGCCGCTAGAGCTTCGTTGAGTTTTTTTAAGAACACATCAGCAGGGGCCTGGCCTCTTAGAACGGCTACTAATGACGCGGTTCGTCCTAAATTCGACCCTAAGTTGCTGCTCTGCGTGCTGTGGCTGCTGCTGCCAATGGCAGAAGACGACAAAACCGCCCGCCCTTGCGGGTCTAATAAGACGTACATGCGAACACGAGGGGAGGCGAAAACTGAGGTGAGTCGCCACCCCGCAGCGGAAGCATTCGCGATGGCGACGAGTGGCACGGCGAAAGCTCGCTTCTGGTTACCACCTGTCGCCGGCCGTTCGTCGATCCAAATCAGCCGGTGCGTGGTGAGCGACGCGACGCCATCACGAAGCGACTCCGCTTCAAGAACCGAGCCGGAATTTGCTACCTCTTCAAATTCTATCCCCGCGTCGTCGATTAAAAGGCTCTCCACCTCGCCAGGGAACAGCACGGGCCGGCCGGAGGGAGTTAACTCTACCGGATGCAGCATGCGCTCGGCCAAGGGTGTGGAGGCGGCGCGCTGGTGAGCCATCACCGCGAGTTGAGAGGATTTCTATGGGAGATTGGGGGCAGTTCCGAGGCAGTTCTGAGAGCTAATATCGAGGATATTCTCGAGGCGATTACTCAGGTGTCTCAAGAAGGAACTCCGATCACAAGTAGAGAGTGGTGGTGATACGTCATGCCGCCTCACGGCGCGTTACCTAGTAACGTTTCCTGACGAAGCGCTTCACTTACTTGGAAACGTTACTTGACGACGCGCGGAAACGTTTCCACGACATTTTGGTGGAATAAGTGCTAACACTTCACTTAAACCGTGGCGAGAGCGGTGGGACGTGGCTTATTATTCGAGATGCTAGTACGTGCCGCATAGTTTATCTACGTACCCCTTGTTTCTGCTCTGACTGACTAGACACGACTCGAGAGCTGTTTATGCGCAATGTTCCACACTGACAGTGTTGACCGCCATAGTGTAAAATAGATGCCCAACCCAAACTTCGCGCTACAAGTCGAAGGGCCAATTCGCTTCGTTATTAACGCTGTAACATTCACACTATCGAGTGTTATGCTCTGAGACAATTTTGCACAAGCCTGCATGATGCATCAAATGTACCTACTGATGCCATGCCATATGATCATCCATGGACACAGCTCCATTGATCCAGAGACAAGGGCCTTTCTTTTATATAGTCGACTTCTCTTTCACCTCGAAGTCAATAAGGGTACAATATTTAAAAATATATATAGATGTCGTAGTCGTAGTTTTTAGGCTACGGTGAGTTGCTCTTTGGAGAGTACAAACGAATTTGGGTTGATGCGGCTGGCGGAGCTCTTCAGTGATGATGACTGGTTTGCTCGCAAGTCTACGTAGGTCAACGAGGAGTTGTTCTCGCACAGTACAGTACGACCATATTCTTGCGACGAGTCACGACGAAACGGAATCTGGGCCACCCAGGCCCCTCCTGAACCATCGCTGCGAGTGACCAACGACACCAGCAGCATCGCTGCCAGGCCCTACGAGAGAAGTCACGAGGAGGAATCTGAGTTGAGGCTTGTTCCACGGCAAGCAAGCCGATAACCTCACAAGAAGCTCCGCACAAACACATCAGCTGGCTAACCCTAAATGGCGCCAAGTTTTCAGACCCGTCTATAGAACCTGTGCCCACGCCGTTTTTCGTGATGCTGTGGATTGTTGAGCCGAAAATAGTCTTCATCGCCCCTAGTGATGGACGTACCCGTTCGTTATCCCCACTGGGTGTCGTCGCTATGGCTCGTCGCGAGAAGGGCGTTCGTGGTGACTTTTCTGGCGACCATGTCGTTCGCGATGCTGCTAGTGTGGGTGTACAATTTCTCGTCCGGCGCGAGTCCCGGTGTCACAGCCTTCCGAGATTCCTTAGATTCGTGCGTGGGAGTCGGCCTTGCGTATAACGGAATGCACAGCATGTCGTTCTTCCGCGGTATTGCGTGTTCCGATTTGGTAAACGCAGCCGCCATACGCGGTAAAGCAGGCTTCGATAAAGGAAGCGAGATTCATTACCGTCACATCTTGGCGACTGGAGGTGACAGCAGCAACACCAGCGGCAACAGCATCGAAGTGGGTACTAGCTCTGGAACAAGAAACCTTAGTTCCACTATAGGATATTCAGAAACGGAGAATCCGGAGAGAGACGGTTGTCAAGTCCTATATAACTCCAGCGTTGACCCTCGTGATATAAAGCCCACTTCGTCCTTCAACCACTCCGGCTGCCAGATCGAATGGATCACTTTCTCCACCAGGTGTGGAAAAGGCGTTCAACGCTTAGCTAAGTTCTGCGACTTGGTGGGAGTTCCGTTTGCAATACTCGGTCTGAACGAAACTTGGAAGGGACTCGGCGGCCGTGTGAGGTACTATAGGGAGTACTTAAGGACTCTCCCGCGTGACCGGATTGTGATTGTAACAGATGCTGACGACGTCTTGTTCCTGCCGAATCGCGAGCTGTGCGGACCAGATCAACTCGTTAAAGCGTTCCTCTCAGTCAACGCTCCTGTTGTTTTCGGAGCCGAAATTTTCGCGTATCCGACAGTCGATGTCATCCCGTTTTACGGGCAAAAGCTGAAGTACCCATTTCCGAATCGGCACCTTAACGCAGGGTCTTGTATCGGGTATGCTTGGGCTTTATCAGAGATGATAGACGTGACGTACACGAGTGACTGTATGGAGGATCAGCGACAATTCGTTACTGGTTACTTGGCCCAACCGTACCTCTTCAACTCCCTCCCACGGACGCCTTACCCTGAAACAAATTTCACTTCGATGCAGTCATATTTTTCACAACAGACAGCACTAACTGCTACCGCTGAAGCAGCCACCTCGTCCCGCACGCCTACCCCCGGCACTCTGAAGTACTTTTGCGCTCTACCCGGTCCGTTACAAGACCTGATCCCAGAGGATGTCACCCCGGAGAAGCTAGAGGCGGCCAGGCAGGCAGCGCCGCCGCCGTTTATCAAGCTGGACCACTACAACGCTCTGATGGAACTGCTGGGAGGGCGGCGATTCGAGCAGTTTGAAGTGCAGGGCTCGGGGCGTGAAATTAAGGTGTATTCTAGGGTTACTAAAGCGTATCCATGTATTTTCCACCAATCTGGGGATAAGCTGAAGAGGGGGGTGGTGAATGAGATAGTGGAAAATGGGACTTTGGATGCCATTGCGTTTGAAGGGATGGAATAGCAACTGTGTTTTGTAGCTTGTGATAATGCAGCAAATACTATCAGAATAGAGTGTTTTATGCCGGCTGTAGGATCTGCTGCACCATCTGTAGAAGTGGACCTAGAGAGGAGGATGGCAAAGTGCAGGGTGGTTCAGATGACATTTAGATGGTGCAGAGCGGTTCATTTGGCATCCATGCTGACGAATGAAGCGCCTCTAGAGATAGGCCAGTGCACAAGGTCGGCTCTCCTGATTTATGCCCCACAGGTAGCTTCTCCGCCCCACAGGTAGCTTCTCCGCCCTAAAGGTAGGTAGGTTCCTTAATTGCCCGAAGATTTCCACAAGTAGATGGGGTCTGGAGGGCCGTGCTTGGAACCTTCCAGGAAGCTTGTCACAAAGTGGATGACGCCGCCTTACAGCTGGCGGTTGAGACGTCTCAAAAGCCGAGGGAGACGGCGAACTAGAGGAGCGGAGAGAAGGGGCGCCGACATGCCATGATTGGATGGGAGGGACCGAATTGGGATGGGAGGGATGGCGAGGGAAGACCTCAAAATGACATTCCGTACCTGTGAGGGATGGGGTGCGTGGGTTGGGGTGGGTTTGGGACGGTTTGGATGGGTTTGGATGGGTCATATGACATCGCCTTATAGCTGGCCGAGGGAGATGGCCTTACAGTAGGAGAGGGAAGAAGGGCGCTCGTGATGCCATGGCATACCTGTGAGGGTTTTTGTGGGGTGTGGGGGATTGGCGTTGGAGGGGTATGAGAAGGGTGGGAGCACGATGAGAAGCAGATGACGTCACAATGTCGCTGAGACGGGAAGCGGCTTGTGGTGCAGTGAGGGAGGGCGGTGGATGATGTGTGGATGTAGCTGGGCTAGGAAGGGAGACCGTAGAGTGGAGGATGGAGGAGGAAGGTTTGAGAAGGCCAAATGTGCAGGAGGGAAGGGAGGATGAAGGAAGGAGGGCAGGGAGGAGGGAAGGGAGGAGGGATGGGAGGAGGGAAGGAAAAAGGGAAGGGAGGAGAGAAGGGAGGAGGGAAGGGAAGCGGAAGGGGAGGAGGGATGGGGAAAGGGAGGGAGGAAGGGAAGGGGGAAGGGAGGGGGGAAGGGAGGGGGAAGGGAGGGGGGAAGGGAAGAGGGAAAGGAGGAGGGCGGGGAGGGGGGAAGGGAGTGGGGAAGGGAGGGGGGAAGGGAGTGGGAAAGGGAAAGGGAGGGGGAATGGAGGAGGGACAGGAAGAAGGAAGGGCGAACGAGGAAAGGGGAAAGGGGAGGGGGAAGGGGGAGGTCAAGGGGAGGGGGAAATGGGGAGGGGGGGAAAGCAAGGAAGTTGATGAGTCTTTGAACGTCTTACAGGCTAGGGCATACAGGCTAGGGCATACGGGAGAGGGCATACAGGATAGGGCATACAGGATAAGGCATACATGATAGGGCATACAGGCTAGGGCATACAGGATAAGGCATACATGCTAGGGCATACAGGCTAGGGCATACAGGCTAGGGCATACAGGCTAGGCCATACAGGCTAGGGCATACAGGCTAGAGCATACGGGATAAGGCATACAGGATAAGGCATGAATGATAAGGCATACATGATAAGGCATACAGGATAAGGCATACAGGACAAGGCATACAGGACAAGGCATACAGGACAAGGCATACAGGACAAGGCATACAGGACAAGGCATACAGGACAAGGCTCACAGATTCAGGGTCACTCACGGGATGTAGATGCAGGAGTGCCGTTGGAGAGCACACGGGCATTGAGAGTGGCACAGCGTGAATCGGCCCCTGCTGTACTCCTTCCCTGCGAGGGGGAGAAACAAGCGGAGCAAGCGGGGTAAGCGGGGCAGGAAAGACAGGGTATCGCGGGTGACTCAGCCTCGCTGTACTCCTTCCCTATAAGGGGTGGTGCGGGAGTGTTAAAGGTAAGAGGTGACAGAAGGAAGAGAAAGGGGAAATCAAGCAGGTAAGAAGAGGCAACAAGGGAGCACACAGGCATTGAGAGTGGCACAAAGTGAGTCGGCCTTGCTGCTCTGCTTCCATGCAAGGGGGGGGGGGGGGGGGCGAGAGCAGGTGCCAGGTGATAGGTGACAGGAGAGAAAGGGGCAGGCTATGAGGCACCAAGAGACAGGTTAGCGGCAGGCGGACTCGAGTGGTGCATAGCAGTTGGCAGAGCGAGAGTCGGCCTTGCTTCTCTGCTTCCATGTGAGGGGTGATGCAAAGGGAGAGATGAAACGGAAAGGTGAGGCCAAGGAGAGAGCACTGCACACGGTAAGAATCAGTTTTGCTGTGCTCCTTCCTGTAAGGGGTGGTGCAGAGAGGGGCAGATAGTGGGACAAGGCGAAGCAGGCGAGGTGAGGGCACAACACGATGCCCAGTAGGCCAGAGAAGGGATGGGACGGGAGGGGAGGGGAGGGGAGGGGAGGTGAGGGGAGGGGAGGGGAGGGGAGGGAGGGGAGGGGAGGGGAGGAGAGGGGAGGGGAGTGGAGGGGAGGGGAGGGGAGGGGACAGGAGGGAGGGAAGGGGCGGGGAGGGGAGGAGAGGGAAGGAACGCGTTGCTGGAGCTGCTCATGCGGTCCTTGCACCCGTTACCGTATCAGCCCCACACGTACATGCGTTTAGTAGAAAAGCGTTGCTGGTGCTGCTCCTTAGATCCTTGCACCCATTGCCGTATGCATAAACCGAAGCATCGCCGCCACGCCACCCCAGCAGAGTTGCTCATGAGGTCCGGGAACGCAACGAACATGCCCTTTCATCACCACGTGGGTGGGTGGATCATCCCCTTTACTGCCCAGTGCCCACCAGCAGGTGACTTTTGAGTCGACTCAAAAAGTCTCCGGGAACGCAACGAACGGGCCCTTCCAGCACCACGTGCGTGGGTGGGTGGATCGTCCCCGTCACTGCCCACCAGCAGAAGGTCGCGGACCTATCCAGAGCCGACATGTGGCGACAGGATCCTGACGGTGACGGGAGGGGGAAAGAGCGCGGGGTGGGGAGGGAGGGGGAGGAGGGGGAGGAGGAGGGGGAGGTGGGGGGGCTGGAGAGGAGAGGGAAGTAGATGTCTGTGGACTTAAAAGCAGCCGACAAATGGTGGCAGTCTGTGATGTGATCTCCCACCAGCAAAAAACGTGGACTTAAAAACAGCCGACAATTGGCAGCAGGAGCTTGAAATCGGGTGTGGGAAACGCCGGGGGGTGGGAGCGGGGGGCGAGCGGAGGTTGTATGAGTGATAAGTTGTAAGGGTGAAGTATTAGCAATGGGGGTGACAGGAGTCGGAATGAAGTCGCACGAGTGCGAGACGGATTGCACGCATCGTAGCACGGAGAAGCTGTCTTTGCACGGTAGGTCGTAGTGCCGCGTTAGGGAGGGGAGGAGAGGGTGAGGAGAGGAGGAGAGGGTCAGGAGAGGAGGAGAGGTTGGGGAGGGGATGAGAGGGTGGGGAGGGGATGAGAGGGTGGGGAGGGAATGAGAGGGTGGGGAGGGAATGAGAGGGTGGGGAGGGAATGAGAGGGTGGGGAGGGAATGAGAGGGTGGGGAGGGAATGAGAGGGTGGGGAGGGAATGAGAGGGTGGGGAGGGAATGAGAGGGTGGGGAGGGAATGAGAGGGTGGGGAGGGAATGAGAGGGTGGGGAGGGAATGAGAGGGTGGGGAGGGAATGAGAGGGTGGGGAGGGAGAGGGTGGGGAGGGAATGAGAGGGTGGAGAGGGAATGAGAGGGTGGGGAGGGAATGAGAGGGTGGGGAGGGAATGAGAGGGTGGGGAGGGAATGAGAGGGTGGGGAGGGAATGAGAGGGTGGGGAGGGAATGAGAGGGTGGAGAGGGAATGAGAGGGTGGGGAGGGAATGAGAGGGTGGGGAGGGAATGAGAGGGTGGGGAGAAGATGAGAGAGCCAGCCTTCGCCACGTCTCGCGAAGCCTGCCTTCCAAGGCTGCTCGCTCCCAGCTCACTCCTCCCCGGCGGTCAGACTTCCCATCCGACTCGAGCGTTGCGCGTCGTCAGCGTAGAGAGTCGTCGCGTCGCGCGTCGCTGGCCGCGTCGGGGCGGATGGCGTTGCGCTGAACGGCGCGCGGAAGCTTGAGAGGCGCTGGGCACGCGGAGGTGGACTCGAGTGGTGCGGCGGAGGCGGTACTGCGACGAGCGGCGCTGCTCATGAGGGCTCCCCGGCGGCGGCGAACGATGGGAAGGATTACGAAGGGGTGCTGGCAGGAACACGAAGCTCGCCGCCGCGGCGCAAACGGGTACAGTTACTCTCGAAAAGCCATGACGCGATACCATGGAGGTGAGGTGACGCATGGGAATCGCGTCGCGTTGGGGCATGCTGGGCTGAAAACTGTTCGTACTGCAGCGCGCGCAGTGGAGAGGACTTCGCTAAATCAAACTGCTTAGCATTACGCGTGTGTTGTGAGTGATATCACTCAATATAGTGGCTCACCTGTCCAGTTTCAGTTGAAACCAAGCCAGGCAGACAGCCATGCTATACACGTGGCACCAGGATGAAGGAACCGATGGTCGGTGAGACCCACGGAACAGGGCTGGGAACTGCCAAAGCGGAAAATAAAGGCTGAATTCTTGTTCGTCGTAACCATACCTTTCTCGGCCTTTTGGCTAAGATCAAGTGTAGTATCTGTTCTTATCAGTTTAATATCTGATACGTGGACCATCGGTCCACATGATGTTAAATTAATTTCTATTTGGGGGCAGGTGCCAATGGCCAGCTTGCTGGTCGGCCCTGCAAGCGTTGTCTCTGTATTGCACTAACTCAGAGGAAGGCGCACCCCTCCCCCAAAAGGGGTCCAAACAAAAATCAGAAATGGGATTCAATCTTAAAATTTAGGATCTTTGCAGGGCAAGATAAAATTGTTATAGTTGCCGAAACGTTTTAATGAAAAGTATTGAACCACCTTGCGCTAGTATGTGTGGGTAAGATCTATTAATTAAAACAAGGAGATATAAGGTTTTTATAAGAGTACAAATAATACGAAGAGTTACAGCTAATAACCGTTTTACTGTTGCTGTTGCGTTTCGATACAGAGACGACTCGGGCACCTGCGCAATAACGAGTCAGTTGTTTGTCCTTGCTGCCGCGCTGTATTTGTCAGGTCAAAGGTCAGCGACCTTTGACCAGGGCCTCAGAAGTCAGAGAAAAAAGGCTGATTTAGGTAAAAAAAAGGCTGAGATTTCCGACTTCGTTTAGAACCAGGGCTGATTTTTCAGATTTTTTTTTTTGGAAAAAAACAGGAAAAACTATGAATTTTTTAGTGTAAAATGGCATAAAATGGCTAATTTATATGATTTTTGTCAGGCATATATGCTATAGTTTGTGTAGGCTGTAGTATGGCAGTTTATATGGGGTACAACACTTTATGGTACTTGTACTCCTCATTCTGCTCAATGCACTCATTCCTCGTTTCTTATCATGGTATCGAGCAGGTTCCCTAGTGGAAACGTGTAAGGAAAATCCCTTTTCCTTACTTCGCATCCCTGCTCAACGCGTACATCACTGTTGTACCCCAGTCAGCACCGTTACTACTCGCGATCATCGCATCGACAATCATCCCGCCATTTTTCGCACATCGCATCCCGACCTCACGGCTCGGCTGGTAACCCGCGCTCCGGGCCTACGCCTCGACACTTTCCCAACCTCAGTCCCAGGCTCGTCGCGCGACTACCACAGACCATTACCGTTACCACTGTAGTTCCGCTATATATTCTTCGCTCACGCCCTCGCTCATTGTATTCTTGCTTCGATAGTGCAATTCTTGTTCGTTCACTCAATTGCACTCGTAACATTTGGTTATCAGAGCCTACGATCTCAGCTCGGACCGCATCCACACCTTCGCTTCCCCACTATCTCAAATTTTTGGGGGGGGTAGACGTCTCTCAGCGATACAGCACCGCCGCTCGTAGTGCTCTCTCGCAAGCACGCACGGCCACGACCGAGGCTTTCGCTGAGCTTGCCCGACACCCCCGCCATGGCCGATTTCACGTTCGCCACATTAACGCAGGAGCAACTTGATCGTCTCGTGCGTCAACTGGAAGATTCAGCGCTCGAAATCGCGACGCTCACGGCGGAACGTGACTCCGCCCGTCAACAGTCCACGGTGAACGTTCCGACGACATCACACACACCAACAAATGTATCGGCACATTCGGATGAACCGATCGTCATCTCGTCCGGCACACCAACACAACACGACAGCATGGGACAACGCTCAGGCACAACCAGTAATGGCGCCGCCCAGCCGATGCCTGGCATGGGAGGAAACAGGATCGCACCAAGCCCGCGGGAGCCCCGAGAAGCCCGTCGGCACGTGGAATTTGCGGCGACAAGTGGCGAACAAGCCATCATGGCACCAATGCCGCTCAAGCCGCAACGCCCGCCCTGCTTCGACCCTAGCCAACGCGGCGGTCCGACGGTTCAATCGTGGGTCTTCACGATGAACGTCTTCTTCGACGCAAATTACGTCGACTCGGACGCCGCGAAGATCCGGTATGCAGTTTCACTGCTAAGGGGCCCCGCCATGGACTAGTGGCGAGTCATCGTGACATCGCCACGCGCCTACGAGCCACCGTCGCACGAGGAAGGGCCCACGGGTCCAGCTGTCACCTGGAGTTCGTTCTGTGAGACCGCCCAATACAGCACGGGTGTGATAACCGGGTGACGGCTGGACCCGTGTGCCCTTCCTCTTGCGACGGTGGCTCGTAGGCACGTAGCGACGTCACGATGCGTGGTGCGCAGGGCTTCGGGCGCGTTTTGAGCCGATCGCGGCTTCAATTTCGGCGCGTCAGAGATTGCGCACTTGGCGCCAGCTCGGGTCAGTTCAAGATTATACAAGTGGTTTTCTCGCAGTTTGCGAGCAGGTCGGCTACATGCACGAAGCGGAGCGGGTGGACCGTTATGTCGGAGGGCTGAAGCCGGATATCTCGCACGAAATAATGCTGCGCGGACTCTCTAATTTTAACGAGATTCTCGCGCTCGCCGAGAAGATCGACATTCTACGCCGACAGAGACCGGGGTCCTATTACGGACATCGCCCTCGGGGACCGACCGAGCACGCCACTGTACACGCCGTTGCAACAAATGCAGCTGCCGCACCGTTTAAAGGGCGCTGCTTTGCTTGCAACAGGCCGGGCCATCGCAAGAGCGAATGCCCAGAGGAGCTGAGGCGCCGAGGAGCAGAGCAGGGGAGGGAGTCTCTGAGGCAGGGAAACGCCAGCAGTCAGTAGAAGTTGGGCCAACTACTGACGAGACTGCCTGCTCGCCCAACCACACCGACCCTCACCGAGTCACAGTACCGATTCACGCCATCGATCGGGCTCGGATGAATAAGGAGGGTACAGCGACGGATTGCCCGGTACTGATCTACGGGAAAATACATGGAGCAGCAGTGAAGATTTTTGTTGACGGGGTAGCAAGTCACAGCTTAGTTAATACCGCAACCGCACGGAAATTACAGTTAACACTTAACCGATGCTTACCTGAGATAGATGCACGCTTAGTCGACGGAACGCCACTAGCCATACGGGAAAAGGTGCAGCGAGTAAAAGTCCGCTGCGGAGGAAACTTCGGGTTTACACAGGAAATGCTCGCAACGACACTGGATGGGCACGACATTTTACTGGGACGTGATTGGCTGCGACGGTATAACCCGCGAATTGACTGGACGACGGGTAGCTGCACAGTGCGAAATAGTGGTAACTGGGTCGTCCTACCTCGCTGGCAGCCACCCGAGTCTTCGACGGTCCAGGTCAACGCCATCACGATGAAACGGGCTGTCGCTGCTGGAGCTGACGTGTACGCAGTGGATATAGCATTAGTTGTCAGAATATTATAGCTTACTTATTTGTGTAGGCTATAGTGGGGTATCCCATAGGGGGTACAACCCAACTAGGGTTTCCTATTTGTACTCACTTCATTCGTAGTCATTCCATTCACGTTCCTTTCTTCACATGGAATCAGAGCAGGTCCCATCCTAGGGACTGTTCTTTAGGGCCCACCGAAGCGCGCCCGAGGCGCGCGCCTTTTTTTTTAGCGACCCTCCGAGTCGCCCTTTTCCTTCGCGGCCCCGCCGCCCTACTTCGCGGCCCGACCGCCGCCCTACTCGCGGCCCAGCCGCCGCCCTACCTTAGCGGCCCACCCGCCGCCCTTGCTAGCGGCCCCGCCGTCCCGTCGCGGCCCCGCCACCCAGTCGCGGCCCCGCTACCCCTACGCGCGGCCCCGCCACTCCGTAGCGGCCCCGCCACCCCTTCGAGCGGCCCCGCCCCTTCGTCGCGGCCCCGCCACTCTGTCGCGGCCCCGCCACTCCGTCGCGGCCCCGCCACCCCTTCGAGCGGCCCCGCCACTCCGTCGCGGCCCCGCCACCCAGTCGCGGCCCCGCTACCTCTTCGCGCGGCCCCGCCACTTCGTCGCGGCCCCGCCACTCCTTCGAGCGGCCCCGCCACTCTGTCGCGGCCCACCCGCCGCCCTACCTGCGGCCTCCCCGCTGCCCTACCTGCGGCCGTCCGCCGCCCTACCTGCGGCCGTCCCGCCGCCCTACCTGCGGCCTACCCGCCGCCCTACCTGCGGCCGTCCGCCGCCCTACCTGCGGCCGTCCCGTCGCCCTACCTGCGGCCTACCCGCCGCCCTACCTGCGGCCGTCCGCCGCCCTACCTGCGGCCGTCCCGCCGCCCTACCTGCGGCCTACTCGCCGCCCTACCTGCGGCCCGCCCGGCCGCCCTACCTACGCGGCCCAGTAGCAGCCGAGCCGCCCGGAGCAGCCGAGCCGCCCAGGAGCCACCGAGCCGCCCAGCAGCAGCCGAGCCGCCCAGCAGCAGCCGAGCCGCCCGGAGCCGCCGAGCTGTCAGATGATGCATATATTTAGGCTGTAGTGGGGTAGCCCATAGGGGGTACAACCCAATTGGGGTTGGTACTTGTACTCCTTTCATTTTCATAGTGCACACATTCTCTCTCTAATCTCAACATGGTATAGAGCGGGTCCTTCCTAAGGACCATTTTTTTTAAGGGCCCACCCACGAAATTTTCGCTGCCCGGAGCGCGCCCTTCTCTCCCCGAAGCGCGCTCCCCCTAGTCCTTCTCGCGCTGCCCTTGTGACCCCCGCGAGTCGCGCGCGCGACCCTTTTTTTCGCGCGCGCGGCCTGGGCCACGTCGCGCTGGCCTTACGGTCGAGTCGCGCCGCCCTCGCGGCTCTGCTACGTCGCGCCGCCCTCGCGGCCCCCTAGCGCCGCCCACGCGGCCTCATCGCCTGCCTCTGCAGGCCCCGACGTCGCACCTGCCGGCCCCGCCGCTGCACCTGCCGGCCCCGCAGCTGCACCTGACG